TCACATTTGTCTTCTGAGGTTTGAAAGAAAAAATTCCTCATCAGTACCAGGACCTTTTTTTTCTGCCAATTTTCCACAACTCTACCACTAATGGTAATACTGTGACATCTCAAATTTACTGAAAGGCGATTACTAGTCATTATTTTAACAACTACCATCTGAGAGAGGTTAGATGGTTTCTATCTGAAATGCTAATAGCTGCCTAGAGTCTTGTCTGCTTTTACCTTGATTCCTCCTTCCATTTGAATAACTCAGGGCAAGGAATAATGGGAATTTTAACAGAAAGTTCTGCACTGTAAGTACAATCTCTGTCATCCATCTCAATCTCTTGCATCAGGTATGGGGTTGCTGCTGGATACAGGTAGCCTATTGCTTCCTAAAGTTTTTGTATCTGTTTACTACATCACTACTAGAAGTGTTATTGTTTATAACAGTGATAGCAATATTGCAATGTGTTGTGGGTCATCCACTGAGATTAATCTTCTCTAAAGACTCAGCAACAAAGAGCTGTTTCCATGAAGATCTTATGGTCTTCGTGGTCTGTTTTTACAAATGACAGGAAATATTTCTCACATCCACTGTGAATCCAGTCTTCTAAGAAACACATGCACTTTATAGTACAAAAGGCATAATTACCCTATAATTATATTGTAGGTGCTTTTTTATCATAAGATTTCCACTAATCTATATAATGAGGCACTTCATGGGCTGGCCAAAAACAATTACAATGTAAAATGAAATAATTGATACACCTGCATTTAAAAAAATACAGTTGGATCCTCAGCTGAGTTAAATCATTATCTCCCTGATGATATCAGTCTGGTTCCTGTGCATTAAAAAGCAAATCATGGGAGCAATAATATCTCAATTATGTAGTTAACCTTCTGGTTATATTAATTAGTGATGATTAGGCATGGGAAACCATAATTATGTCACGTACGTAACACCCCTTTGAAACTGTGTTGTGAATCCAAACACAAAAGGCAGATGTGAACATCTAACCAGGGCTAGCACAAACCTGAAACTCAATTATTTCACCCTCTATCTCCTATCTGAAACACAGCCAGTGGTGCCAGCTCTGCTGGTGAAAAACTTGCAGCAGAAACTGCAGGTTTTATTTGTCCTAGAAGAGAAATGCAAGGTAGAATTGTCCCATATTCTGATTTCATGTGGAGGCTATTAAAACCTTACTAAAATAAAACAAAACAAAACCAAAAAAAAAAAACAAACCAAAAAAGACAAATAAAACAACTAGGTCCTGTTCAGTTCCTAGTGGAGGAAGCTCTGAAACTAAAGAAGCACCTTTTCATTAACTCAAAATACATAGCCATTTGTCTGGGTTAGGAACAGCTGAAAATCAGCCTCTCTTGCTCCTCTTTGCAGGAGATCCTGGCACCAGAGCATTATTTGCACAGGATCTTTCTGAAGAGTTGTTCCTCACTGACTCCAAAAATGCAGTCATAGACACTGCACTGAGGAAACTGGTTTTCCTGAGGGAGCTGTCTGAGGAAACTGTGGCACTGGGAAGAGGGAGTCCAAGCAAGCAGGATTTTACCCCACTAACCTCATACCTAAGTTAAGAAGTTTTACACCTTCAAGGATAAAGAAGAGAAAAGCCAGTCGGGGCTAACACTCTTCCCTCAGTATATCAGAGATGTAATTTATCCCAACAGACCATTCCCTCACAGCAGGACTACAGTAAATAATTATGGTGTAGGTAATTCAGTCTAAATTTAGAAAAATAATAAATATTTTTATATAGGCTTCTCTCAGCTACTGAAACCCACAGAAGCTCTGCACTGCCAGAGGAATTGTGGACCTAAACATCCAGGGTTATTCCTGCCATTCAGGGGGCAGCATCCTGCCACCTCTGCAGGGAAAAGAACAAGCACAGAAGAACACCACAGAATTTCCATTAAAATTAATCCTTTGAAAAGTGAATGGTAGAAGAAACTGTATATTTTTGACCAAACAAATATACTTTAAATGGGCAGTTTGCAAATGTCAGGCTGAAGTGTTCCAAAGTCAGAAGCTGCCAGAATTAAAGCTGCCTGTGTACTCTGTATTGTACTTGCAGGGACTTTGTCACTGTTATTGCCTGGTTTTATTTTTTTAATTTAAGTGACTTGACTTCAAAAGTTTGACTTGCAAATCTGGCATTTGCAGTTCAGGGAAACTCCACCTAGCACACTTTTTCATCTATATTCACTCAATTATTATTTGATGTGTTCTTTGCTTTCTGCTGTGCCAGTAGCAAGGGACACTGGTACAATATGCACCAGAGTTCTTTATTGACTCACAGAATTAACAGTCTTGGGGTATTCAGTGGATCTGCTCTGACATGTCAGCTCAGTTCATAACAGACTGGGTTCAACAGAAAATGCTGCCCTGTGAGGGCCCAGGTGTGAGGCCCTGGCTACATTCTGGGCACAGCAAGGTCTCATTAAGTGGCACTGCTGTTTAAGGAACTAAAGGCACATGGTTCTTTGCAGGGTCTAACCCAGCAGGACTTTGGTAAGGCATTCTTCCTGTCTTTTACTTCAGTAAACTATAAAAATGTTGCCTAATATTTAAAAGCAGCAGTTCCCAGGCATTGCAAGCTGTTCTCTAACGATATTTCCAATTCAGTCTGAGATTCCTGAATGAAATTTCTGTAGAAGGCTTACGTAAACATTCTCCCTCTCAACCTGAAGTTCATTCAATATAATATTATAGAAGCAATCCTTGTAAATACCTCACTTCAAGAGAGGTTGTTTTTTCTCCCTTTTCTTTTGCTCTTGGCAGTGGCTGTGACAAGAATGACAGCGCAAAACACAACAGAAAGTTATAAATGTTACTTTTCTTCAGACAACAATCAAAGTCATGGATTACCTAGGTGGTTAAGTGGGAAACTGAGGCACTCTGCTTTCAGAAACTGCAGGGAAGCTATAAATTGAAAGCAATGTTACTGCCATTTCAGTGGATACTCCTGCCCAATGTGGATGCTGATCCTTTCGAAGTCAGCCCTGAAAACAAATTTCACCGTCAGGCACTGGGGTTTTTTGGGATTGGCAAGTTTGGGACCTGTCAAGCAAAGGATATGAGCCACCCATATCTCCAACCATCTGAAAAGAGACATCAGCAGAAGAATACACAATTTAAGAAAGGTGCTTTTCATCACTTCAGTGGTTTTTTTGCCTTTACTTCAAGTTGCTGCACAAGTGCATTTTGGTCCCTCCTTTGATATGCACCTCTCGACACCCAAGGGAAAGATTGCCAAAATCTGATAACAAGCATGACCCCCTCTTCCTCATTGTCATCCTTATCTCCATTCTCTGTGTCCTAAGCCCACACCTTTCACACAAGTCAGGATCCATCCCTGTCACAGCCTGGAATGCTCTCTGCTGGCATTCTTCCCTTCTCCCCTCTCAGCACTTTCTTTCCATCAACTCCTCTTACACCACAGAACAACTGAAGAGCTGGCACAGTGCAGCCCATGTCAGGGGCCATTGTCATAATTTAACAGTGCAGATGATTGAATTAGAGGCTTTGGCACAGCCTTGTTTATCTGTACTAATGAAGCTGAACCAAACATGCAATTCCCTGTGGGCTTTTGCCTCACTCTTCTCTTTCCCTTCTGGAATCTTGACCATCCACTCCATCCCAGTCTTTACCACCTCAAGCAGCTGCTCCAGAGATGCTGGGAGCAGGACTTAAGAGGCCACAGCTCAGTTCTTTTTGTTAGTGACACAGATGAATTATTAGGAGAGAGATGAAATAGGAGGCAGGGAGTTGGGGGATGCATACCCTTACAGAACTTTTCATGAGGGTAAGATCAAGAAACTGTGGTCTTTTGACATTTTTAAGAAAAATGTAAGACCCTTCTCCAAACCTTGACTCTAGCTTGTGGTTTTGTATATTACATAACAACACCATAACAGTACTTGGGCTTGAGGACTAGAGGCATAAATGGAATTTAAGAAATTAACTGTAAAGATGCAGTGCTCTGGCCATAGGTAAGATTTTCTACCAGCATGGTGGAGTTTGTGTCTGGGCTGTCACTGCTGAGATTTTGCTCAGAGTCATCACTAGGGTTCAAACTCGTGACATGGCAAAACTCTGACAAACTTTGATGTGACAGCATACTGAGCAACTCTGCCTCCACAGCTGTTCTGGGCACCTTTCCTTCTGCCTTCCCAATGCAGCTTCCTGGCAAACTCATTAACCACATGGATGCACTGAAAATGCTTGGAACCGGAACGAGAACAGAAGGAATGGAATCAACTCTGCTGCCTAAGGAGCTGGGATTTACGTTTTTTCTTTGTCTACACCTTCCCCTCTCTGGGTGCAATGCAAAGAAAATCTGTGCAGCTGATCTGGGACTTTACAAAGCTAGGGATTACCCCCTGCAGATCCTGACAGGCCCCCATGCTCACAACCTGGCAAACACCACAACAGTAATCTCCTCTCTGAGATAAAGTCCATCAATCTTATTTTTACACCAACTCGTTCCCCTCTGCTCCACAGACAGAGCTCGAAGAAAATCCCTCCTCAGGAACAATGCTAAAATCTGCCCTTTCTCGGCATCCTCCTATTTAACTTACTCTTTCAGCTGGCCTCCCATCAGAGTCAGGTCAACATGTACTCATTTTGTCTGCTGAGCTGACTAGTTTTCAATAACAATTTCTCCTTCATTTTGTAACAGAGATCAATAAAACTGCCCCTCTCTCACATTGGCTGAGATTCCAGCAATGTCATTTGCTCTTTATTGTTGCTACTGCTTTGTTTTCTTTCCTTTTTTCTTTTTTTCTTTTTCTTTCCTTCTTCTTCCCCCCCCTTCCTCTTTTTTTTTTTTTTTTTTTTTTTTTTTTCTTTTTTGGCAAGACACAGATCAATTTAACAAGATGAAAATGACTTAGACTTTCACTCAAGGTAAAATCTGCACTTTATAACCCAGGATGTAATTTACAATCCTGTCATTAAACTCTGTTAATCCTATTATTATGAAGATAAATAATTACCCATAGCGAAGAAAGGGATTCCCAACAGAGTAGAATTATATTTTCCATCAGTAATGAAAAATATCCCTGCCGCAGTGACACTGGAAATACAGATAGTGAGTACTCCCAGGAGTCCCAGGAAAGGTTTGCTACGCAGGCAGTCCTTCATGGAGCTCGAGAGGGTAGCAGTCAGGAGAATCAACATCAGGCTCACCAAAACCTTGCCCCTGGCCAAGAGACTGGTCTGGTGGAAGTCCTTCCAGAGGCTAAAGGATGCTAGAGAGTAGAGCTGCAGATCTTGGTGATCCAGTTGCATCTTGTGCATCAGTTTACAGAATTCACTCTCCCACTTCTCCCCAATGAGGTCCTGGGTGACAGAGCCATACGTTTGGAGGTAGTAAGTGATTTGGATGGCTCTGGCTGATTTGACTCTCTGGTCCTTGCTGTTTGGCACTTCCATGACCCCTCCAAGCTGGTGGCCAATAAAACTGCTCCTTCCATCCTGGGAGAGAAAGCAAAAGAGATGAGCGTGTTGTTATCCTGCATATGATGTGATACAGTGACAGTGTTTGACTCTGCCTTCCTCTCACAGACACTGCCAGAGCTCCACTCAAAGGCCACTGCACTGAGCAGGAGCTGTGCCATGCACTTCAGTGGGCTTTGGGATCTACCCCTGCTCCTTGAAACAAGTCTGTCTTACTCATTATACACTCATTTGCACTTCTGTGCTGCAGTCACAGGTGTTCCCAGATGTTCAGGGAACAAAACCTGGAATGCAAGCTCCTTGCCCCATTCCACATTTAACTATGATGGACAAATTGCTGATTACTGTGAAAAGTTTGAGATGAAGATCAATTTTTGGAAAATTTGTGGTTTCTTGACACTTTGGAAATGGTTCTTAAAAGTTGGAAATGTACAGAAGATAAAGCCTCTTTCCTCAGTATACAGATGTAAATGTAGACAGATCCGCAAAGTTTAATGGCTACTCCGTCTTCAGAAAAATAGAATTAAAATCAGACTTTTTGAATTGTTTATTTGAGATTTCATGGATTTATATCAGTGGCACAGAGAAAAGAATCTACCTTATACCTGGATTTAACCAGGATGGGGGGGGAGGAGTATAAACAATATAAACCTTATTCTGGTCTTACTTATTTTGATGTATGCTAGGACACAAAAAACTCCATGGCAATCAGTAAAGGACACATCAGGTACATTCAAGATCAACCTCTGTCTATTTACAAGACCAGACATTTTTTTCTTTTATTGAAGGAAGGGTTTAGTAAGGAAGGTCCTATAAGGAAAGTCCTTGGTCTTAAGCCACTGGTAATTCTAGTTTTCTAGGACAACTGTATGTGCCCCTTCCAAGACAACAGAAGTTTGTGTGGATTTAGAAGATTAAATCCAGTAGCAAACTGAGGAAGAAGACTCAGTGGATAAAACTGTCCCAGCACAAGTAATATCTTTGATCAAAAAAGTCTAAACCCAGGGATTACATGTCTGTTGCACACCAAATAACATTTTGCTTTCCCCCCCACATAAACTGGATTATGAGTTTTCAGATTTATTTCCTCTTGTATTTAATAACAACATAAAATTATCAAGACAGTTGATGTCTAAAGCATCCTGCAGCAGTGAGTTCACATGAGATAATACTCTTTGCTTAAACACACTATGGGAATGAGCTGACAACTTGAATTTGGGAGAGGCTCTGCCCTACACACACACACATGGAAGCAGTTATCTGCAAAAGGCCAGAACAATTTGAGGGAGACACTTTAAAATCTATTACATCCAACATTAACCATTTCTAGAAGCACCTGTGCTTCACACAGGTCATTATCTGAAATTGCCAGACCCATTCATGGTAATGATTCCCATCCTAAGGAAAAATCAATGAAGCAGGACTTTATGAAACATAGATGTCTTCTAGCATGTCTGCTCATAGAGCAAATAAATACCAGAAACTGGGAGACAGTGCTGAAAATGGTTTATGTACTCACCTTGCCTCCAATCAGGTATGTAAAGGAGGTAATCCTCCCACTGAGAAATTTCTGCCTATGCCTGCTTTCATGGCAGGAGCTCACACTGTTTCCAGCATTTGCCTGCCACAGCCCAGGGAACGTGACAAAATGCTTTTCAGAAGTTCATTTTCCCCCTATTCCCAGTTGTTATTTCCCACCAAAATAACGGCTTCTGGCAAGGTATCCTGGCACGAGCTGACACGAAAGGTGAATTGCAGTCTAATGCCAGCTTCTCAAATCACCTGAAGCCTCATTGCAAATGTCACACAAGCAGAGACAGCTGGCACAGAGGGGCAGCTGGTGCTGCTTGGGCTCCAAAAAATCCTCGTCCCCACCATTTCATGTCGAGAATCCTGTTTTGATGGATTATTTCTGCTTTTTCTAAGGAGAGTTCACACCTAATATGCACACAAAAAATACATCTCCAAGCCAGTAATTAATGTTTGAACAATGCAGTCCCGGTTCACATTGGATGCAACTTTGCAGCTAAAAATCCCATTTGGCACTGGCTTTGAAATTTTAGGGAGAAATGTCATATTTCCTCAGCGAGTGTACATGCAGTGCTGACATTAAGAGGTTTGCAGCCGCTGCAGGAGGCTTTAGCAGCACTGTAGCTCCAAACAAAACTTTAGCTCCAAACCCAGCCCATGCACTGTAATTCAGGTTTCATTGCTTCACTGTGCAGCACACACGGCAAGGTTATGGGAAACTTTGCGATGACCATCTGCCTTCCCCTGCAAAAAGTGCACTGAGAGACGGCAGCATTTCAAAAGGGGCAGCAGAGCAGCCACAAATAAATCATGTTCTGCCATATCTCCCACGAAACAGCAGATAACAGCTATTTTTTACACTGATGTACAACAGGGCACCCAGCTCATATGTCAGCAAAACAGAGAGCAAGCTTTCAGATGGGATCGAGGAAATCACAGATGCTGGGTTTCTTTGAGGTCCTTTTGTCCATTCCTTTGCTTCCAAAGGCAGATTTTTTCCTATCTAAGCAAGGGCTTTGCCTTTGCTGCTTTTATGACATGCAAGCACGAATCTGGCACCACAACACATGGGAAAATCGAACCCTTCTCTAATACAGATCTTAGAGAATCACAAAATCACAGAATAGTTTCAACTAGAAGAGGTTTTAAAGATCCTTGAGTTCCCCCCCATGATGGGCAGGAACACCTTCCACTAGACCAAACTGTGTCCAACCTGGCCTTTCAGGGATGGAGCATCCACAGCTTCTGGGTAACCTCTTCCAGCACCTCACCATCCTGGAATACTCCTAATATTTAATGTAAATCCACTTTCTTTCAGTTTAAAGCATTCCCTCATGTGTTGCCTTTGCCAAACACTCTAAAGAGGGATAAAGTTCCTGTTGTGTTGAGTAGGGTTGTTCCAGCAGTGGTTACAATCTCAGGGAGGAAGACAGAAAAATATGGGGAAAAATAGCCTTTCATCCCATTTTACAGATGGCAACTGATGCAGGAAAATGGAGATCTAGTGCTGCAACAGGACTCCAAGAGGCCTCCAAGCCAGGGACTTCACTCTTTCTTGGTGTCTCATGGGAAATTCAAGGAGTTATTCACTATGCCAAGGTCTTTGTTGCCCTCCAGGACCACCTTAATGAAAGAAGGAGACATGAGCAGCTAAGCTCCTGGACTAAGCCTCAGGTCTGGGAAAAATGAGGCCACAGTGGCTTGTGTAAGTGATGCCTGAAGAACCAGGCAGGTTTTGCAGCAGATTCCACATAGTTCCTCATGAAAAAACATTTTCTACTGATAATTAGCATGTCCTTTCTGGTATATGCTTACATGCTGCTATTTTTAATTTCATAACAATAGTTTCATGTTTCAGACTACAGACCCCTTACAATTTTTACCTATATCTCTTGATACTCTCTGTTCCTATATGCAGAAAAACAAACTCAAAAAAGTAGAGTCATAATAATAGTTATTGGTTATATACCACTTTATACCCATGTATCTCCAGAGGATCTACAACATAAAGTGTTAACTGTCTTTAGCAGTGTCACTTGCATGGTTGGAACCTGAATTTCAGATTTCCAGGCTGTGTCCATGTATCTTTCTCTTTCTCTTTAACATTTTTTTTTAAATATCTAATGAATACTTCACAGTGTCTGCTCTCCCAGATTCTGATGGCAGCTAATTCTCTCCAGATCTGAGCGCCTTTAAAGATGGCATGAAGTAAAGATCACTTGCTGAGGTATGTGATATTTGACCTAAAACAGGGGCCAAGCTAAAATCTTTGCTTCAATGGATACTATTGAATTGGGTTTTGTGTCCTCCCTTCTCTTTCTCTACATGCCCCAAAACTGTTTGGTATATTTAGACTCTGAAAGAGAGGAGAGTGAGAGCTAAGATGACAGTCATGAAAAGCTGCACCTTTCTCTTCCCCTCTCCATGATGGACTTCACCATCTGTGTTTATGCAGACCTGACCTTGCAGGTGGTTGAAAATCCAAACTTCTTGTCTGTTCAGCAGTAAAAATTACTAACAGTGAATGGAAGGATACAGAATAAACCCCTTCCATATATCAGGCTAGAAACCCATCTGTAAGAGATGCTTGGATCCTTAATTTCCTAAGAAGATGTGTAAATGGCATGGTGATGTTTGGCTTGCTCCGTAGCTGAGTGCAGGGCCTCCCAGGTTAAACAAAACCAGCTGCTCTTCTGAGCTAAATATCTTTTACTGGTGCTCATGTGGGCACAGATCCTCTCAGGATGCAGCCCCAGAGGGATATGAGCAATACTCTCTTTTTACTAAATTACCTGGGACCTTTTTGTTTCCTTAATAATTTCAGTGCAGCTGCTGCAATCTCAACTCCCACCCTGGGGGTTCTGTGTGGTCACTGCCCTGGGCAGGATGCCTTATCCTCTACTGGGATATTTTCTTTGTCCAAGATCACATTAAGTCAGAAAGAAAGTAGGACTGTAGTCACTGAAGCAAATGGTGGGAAGATGCCAGCTATGAGGACTGGCACTGAGGGACATGGTTCAGTGGTGGACCTGGCAGTGCTGGGTCAATGACTGGACTCCATGATCTTATAGGTATTTTCCAATGTAAATGGTTCTATGATTCATCTCTGCTTTGAATGCCATCAGCCTCCACTGACTAGTCTATGATTCTATGACTTCTCTCTCACAGGAAAAAGGGAGGGTATGAGGTCTCTTTGAGAGGGAATGGTTCCTGCCTTCCCAGGGCCCTGCTCAGTGGAGGTGAGGGCTGGTGAGAGTTTAAAACTCATTTTAGATCTCTGGTGAGGAGAGGAGCCCTTGTTCCCTACTGCCAGATCACTTTTATTCAAGTACATCTACAGGACCTTTGACAGCAAATTTATCTCTATTTTTATTTTTTCTTTAACTGCTACCTCTCATCAACTGGAGTGATAGATCATTATCAAGCTACATTATAGAAATGTTAGAAGAAAATATGCAATTTTGGTTACACTCTATTTTATCTTAAAA